CACACACACACACACACACACACACACACACACACACACACACACACACAATGCTCAATTGCCAGTTTTAGACAAATGGCAAAAGTTTTAACCATGGGGCACAGCATGTGTGGTGGTGGCACCATCTTGTGGAGAAACGCTCCAACAAGGAGAAACAAGCTCATCACGATGACTAAAGGCACTTCTAAGTATCTCCCTAATCTTCCTCACTTTGTATAGCCCTCTAACCACAAGCATCAGAATCAAATTCTTGGGATTTTCTACTTGTGCAAAGTACAGTACAACTGATTCATCCTGACTGATAAAACAATGACGTCTTGATTTAACCTCTACAGGTTGAGTTCGATCTGAAAATGGGTTTGGTACCTGAAATCAGATGAAACGTAATTATTCACTAATAATTGAGTTTCATGACATGTTGAGTGGGTGAGAATCTCATTTAGGAACAAAACCGCAATGTTCATCCCTCCTCAATAAAAACAAAATCCATGGAACTCTTAAATGTGTAACTTTTAAAAGCAGTGCATTATTTTTCTGAAACGTTCTCCTGCCAATGACTTTCGACTCATAACTTTCTACAAAAATACTTTTCTTTTTGGCAATGACAGTCGACAAAGTGTAATAAATTTGAGAGATTATTCATATTCATTCATCTCAAGAAATCAACTAAAATCAATTTCAGAGGCGACATCATGTGACGCCTCTTTATCGACCACAAAATAATGACTGGATAATCCTGCCTTTTACACAAATGACTTGTGCTTTGAACAGAGGTGGTACAATCTCCACCTCGAGCCAAATGAACATGAGGAAAACAGGAGAAACTCGCTGCCACGGCACGGGAACCGATCCGAGCGCTATAAATCTAAAGCTTGTTATACATGTATGGTGTGCATAGTACTACAGTATGATAGTACTACTGCATTCACCACATACCATACTGTATAAACTCTACAAAATGCACAATTATCAGCCACCAAGTAAAGAAAAACCTCTACCCAAACGAAGGACTACTCCATGCATATCGTACTAGATAATCTCTCAGACCACAAAGGCCACACTGGATGGCAAAACGACCGGTTCTGCTTTCTCTTTCTTGCTACATGAAAAGATCCTTCATTTGGCTCACATTAGCTGGATACTGTGCATCCTCGAACAGAATCTAAGAGCGATAGCAAATATTCGGAAAACAATTCAAGAAACACGGCGGTTAATCTGTAGAAAATCACATACTGTCTGCATGTGTGTCTGAAATATATATATATATATATGTGTGTGTTATATAACCGCTTTCTCTTTGTACATCTATGTTCTACAGCTCTGTGAGTCAAGCTTGTGATTAAACCAACAGTCACAAGGGGGAGGAAGTACCGAGAGTGAAATCTGCTTTAAAAAAAAACAACAACAAACATCTGCGAGGACATTGTACCGCTAACAACAGTCTAATCTAACAGAGGCTAAGCAAATACAGTACCGAAGATACAATAATCACAAAGATTTATGCCCTGCAAGTGTCTTTATCATATAGAGACTAGACACTTAAGAGCAGCACTAACAGTTATGCCTTAAGTCAATGGCTACAGGTGCTACAGTATTAAACAGGATGAAAAATGAAGGAAGAAGTCAGAAACAAAGAGACGTTTAATGCAGGACTCTTTCCACTATTTCCTTTAAGAAGGAAACCTGAATTATGTGGAACTGCATTTATCAATGTACCTGTGCATCTAGTGTATTGTGATTAAAAAGTATTTCTATATTCACAATATACCAAATACGTAGCATGCACTTCTATCATGAAATACACTATTTGCTGTCCGTTGTACCTCATCAGATCAAAGGGAGGCGCCGCTGAGAGAGAGAGAGAGCAACAAGCCGGAGCAGTTGGAAATAAAGATCATTTTTAAAGCTGTAGCTTTGTCAATGTCGACAGGCGTTCATTCTCTCCTTCCTTCTTTCGACCGCGACGTGCCCCCTCGTTCTAGTGACACAGGCTTGTGGTCATCCAAAGCTATTACTATGGCACTTGAGCAAGCTTTAAATTGAATACATTTTTTTTAAAAACCCCAAAAATAACAACCCCAGCAGTTTCTCCACCCCCTCCCCTACTCCCCTCCTCCCCTCCTCCCCCCGGCTCCAGTGACTACACCCTCCTGGTCCACGGTTCCTCAGCCGCCTTCAGGTGTGACGCGAGCAGCCTGGTTTAGCCAAGCCAGTCCTTTTAGTGGATGACAGCTCAGGCTTTTGTCTACGGAGAGTTTGCAGGCAGTCTGGGGATGACAGATCAGGCCTTTGTCTATAGACACTCATCGTGTTCAAAGCAAAAAAAAAAAGAAAGTGCCCCCTGTATATTTTCCCATCATCCCATCTGGTCTCTCCTCTTCACCATCTTGAAAAACAACATTTGCGTGTGCTTTTTTTTCTTCCTTCAACACATTTAGTCTTGTTTTTCCTGTCGAAGGTGTCTTTAAATTTCACACTGTACAGTCCTGGCTGACATTCTCCTCGCAGTAAAACTCGCTGCGTCAGCCAGGCTAACTGTACAGTGCTTACTTGCTGCTAGCAGTGTGCTTATATTGAAGCCATGCTGTTAGCAAGGAGTGCTCTTTGCTGCTGGACTGGGGTCAGTGTGGGAAAGAAGCACCAGCCTCCAGCCAAAAAAAGTATGATTTTTGTTTTAATTGTGGCTGCCGACAACCACATGAACACTTGCATTGTTCAGATGTTTATTTCCTCCCCCCCAATGCATCTGAGTGAAAATTTAGTTTCCCCACCCTGGTTGGTGTCCGACACTGCCGGTCGATTATTCATCTGGGGTGCTGGTTCTGGTTCTGGGAGCAGGCCAGGACTGGGTAGGCAAGATTTACATTCAGCTGGTCGTTGTGTTGGACCAAGGAGACGTTTTTGTAGTGGAGCACCAGGTCTTTGAGGGACGAGTAGAGATTGTAGGGCTCAGCGAATCCATAACCGGTGGCCGTCTTGTAGATGACACAGTGCTTAGCGTCACCCTCCACGCTGAAAACAAGGATAAGATATTTACTATTGTACTGAAAGGGAAATGATGTCAATTCTGAGGACATTCTCAGTAGTTCATATTAGGGAACGGCTGAACTTATTTCCTACATTTCCCAGAATTCCTATTAATGGAAGAAATTAGCATGAAGCCTGAACTGTTTGCATCTTAGTCATACATCCTACTCTTTGCCAGTTTCCTGAGGGATTTCTCCCTGTGTAAATGTAACTGAACAATGCAAAGTTAAAAAAGCACCTTAAGTACAGAGATCCCACAATGTTGTCGACAGAAATCCTTGTTGTGCTGCACTACAACAAACAAGCAGTCATCCTGCTGCTCTGAATGCTCTCTAAGCATGCTGACTTTACAGAATTGCAGGTATGACATGTAATAGGACTGCCTGATATATTACAATTAAACTCTAAGGACTACAACTGCTCCTGAGCAACCAGTGCCTGAGCTTGAAATCAAGTGTGAGCTATAACTGATTAAAACAAACCAAAATCAGATGCCAGATAAAACTATTGTGATTCATGACGTGCTTCGACAGAACTCATTTCATTTGTGGTTAAAACCCTGGTAGCTTTATTCACCCTCTTTCACAAGAAAGTTCAACAATTTACCATTTTAAATCACTTTAAACTGAAAGTGTAAAACT